AGTGAAATTCTAGATACAAGAGTGTCTGTTAACGGATTGATGAAGGGTCTGAGAACAAGGCTTGCATAGTCACAGCAACTAAAAAGCCAGGAAGAAGACTGAAAAGTCTGGAATCAGACTTAAATTTATGATACCACTAGTTATTTCACAGGAGAGAAAGGTATAGAGAATTGAGCTCAAATCTTCTAGAATGGAGATAGAGTGGTAAGGCAGCTGAAGAAGATGCAGGCTGGGCTACAAGATGTCTTTTACACTGCTTTCTTCTTTTACTGAAAGAAGTACAACCATGTTTCATTGTCGTTTTACTGGAAAATATTTTGTATTTATTTGAAATCTCAACTCTGGGAAACTCAGATTTCATGCACAACATTACTGACTTTAAAAACACCTACCTGATGCTGGTGAGGATGTGGAGATAAGAGCACTATTTTACACTGAAAGTGGGAATGTAGAATGGCCCAGCTGCATGGCAAACAGTCTAAAGGGTTCTCAAAAGATTAAAAATGGATCTACAATATGACCCGGCAATTCCATTCCTAGGTGTCGACCCAAGGAACACAAATATACAAATTCAAAAAGGAATGTGCACTCCCATTTTCACTGCACTACTATTTACAACAGCTAACCTATGGAACCATCTTAAGTGCTCCAAAACAGATGAGTGGATCAAGAAGATGATTTGTGGCGACATGGATGGAACTAGAACGGATTATGCTAAGCAAAATAAGTCAGATGGTGAAAGATAAAATACTGGATGGTGGACTATAGATAAACCAGACAAGGGGTCATATAAAGCCAAACTCAAAAGCTAACCCTTGAAAGCTAACTATAGAACCGAGGTTTTCAGAGGGGGAAGCGAAGAAGGCCATAAGCAAAGGTGCTTTGATGGGGGGAATGTTATGGTAACAACACCAGAAGAGGGGGATCCTATATTGGTAAGATAGAAACCAACATCATCTCAATCAAAAATGTGTTAAATAAATAACACATCTACTTGAGATAAGAAGTAAAAGTATCCGTGAAATCCTTTGAGACATGGAAGAATGAGGAATATAAAATGGTTTGCTTAATCAAGTTGATCCTCTGAAGAGTTAAAGGAGTTAAAAGTTGGGAGTAGGCTTGGATTCAATGTTGGGTTGAGGGAGATTTTCAGGATGGCCATACTGTAAATATACTAAGTATCTAGGAATAAGGACTGACTAAACAATCTCAAAAGGTTAAATCCTTCTAAGCAAGCCCTGTATTAGAATTTATTTTCCTTTATGTGTTGAGGATCAGACCAAGAACTTCATCAGATGTTCATTAGACCAACAAAACTCTTCAGAACTCACCATCAGTGGTTACATTTTGATGAGATCTACTCTCTCCCTTGACTACCTCCTGCAAGTGACTTATGTTTCTTTACAAGCCTGTATATGTCACTTGTAATAAAAACAAATATACTGATAAAATATGCGTGCAGAAATAAAGAGGGGTCATTGAATATTTTGGAAAGATTTCTCTAAAGGCAAGTTGTTAAAATTGTTTTTTTCCACATCGAACTTTAGTGTGAATAGACCTGAAGGATTAGGGAGAGAAGCCATACCATTATAGAATTGTCCTCCAATGGCTCCACTGATGTCTTTAAAGTCTCAGATGGACTTTAAAGAAACCAAACAGAGGGGCCTCCCAGGTGGTCTAGGGGTTAAGTTCCAGCACTATCACCATGTTGGCCTGCGTTTGATCCTCAGCCAGGGAGCTAACCCATGTGGCACAGCAGACCTCTCCTGTCTCACCCGCCGTTTACCTTATTATTGTGTTTCAGTGGATCTGCCTATTCTGCTCCCCACTCTGTTTCTGGTGAATCCGATCACCCCCTGAACATCTGGCCTACACCCCAGTTCTGCACAAAACAAAACAAAAAAATAAAACAAAGAAAGAAAGCAAACTGACTATCAGAGACAAAGCATTACAGCCGAGGGACAGAAAAAATATAAACCCCCCATCATTAAGACTTATATTTAAAACTCTTCAGCTTTAACACTAAAAGATCAGCTAACAACTGAATCACACCTATATGCTTCATGTAGTGTTTCAGGTATATGTGTATTACTTTTAAAGCGATGACTTGCTTTACCTGGCATATTTGTGAAACAATGTGTTCAGTATCTTCTCCAAATGTCAGTCAACCAAAATGACATGCTCTAGCCATGATGAACTACCTGATTTCCACAATAAGATTAAGATTTATATTTATACTACTAATTATTTCTAAAATTGTACATTGTAATTCCCAGAAACTAAACCTTTAATCTCCTCAATAAAAGCAGACTTTGGTAGTATGAGTTTGAATTCAAGTAAGTACAGAATTATTTTATAGTCCTTACTTGTTTGGCTAGCTAATTTTAATTTTTAGTGGGAATGCTACTAGAAAAAGAAAACTAAATCTCCTCTTTAAGTATATACTCCTGCTTTAGCCTAGATATGCTAGGGATTTCGGATTATAGGTTTCAGAACATGGTTTTTAAACAAAATGGACAAAGACTAACTAGAAATCTCACCTTGTAAAGCAAAAACATTACGGTATTTACAGATGTGAGCCATCTCCCCTGGACTAGCCTGGGTTGTGACATGGTCTTTTAACACTTGGTTTCATTTTCCTCACTTGAAAACTAAGGTGGTGAAAAGCCCTTCTTGAGTTCCATTTCCAGCTCTAAAATTCTGTGATTCTGTGATCCTAACAGGACACTTAGATTAAAGGTTTTCAGTAGGAAAGATGGTGCACAAAGCTCTTTCCAGGTAGTAATGCTGGCATGCTCACAGCATCCCCAAGAGCTGATATTCTGGGGTTACTCCCATTTTACAGATGAAGAGAATGAAACACAGAGGCCAGCTGTGTCTAAGTGGGTAAGCGGCAGGCAGGGATTTCAGCCCAGCTGCCTGGACCAAAAGTTCAGATTCTTAAAAAAAAAAATGTATTTATACATACAGAACTGGGGTATAGGCCAGAGGTGCAGGGGCGGCGAGAGACCACCAGAAACAGAGTGGGGAGCAGAACAGGGAGATCGACGAAGTACACTGCTGAGGGGAGCAGCGGGTGGGTCAGGAGAGGTCTGCTGAGCCCTATGAATCACCTCCAGGGCAGGGACCAAACTCTCACTGAACCGGCCTTGGCTTGGCTTAATCCCGCAGTGCAGTGTTCAACCTGCTGCGCCACCAGGGAGGGCCTCCCCAAATCTACATTCTTTAGTTCATCCTGAGTCACACAATGAGTTGACAAATGCCAGGGAATGTGTCTACAGTATGGTTTTTATGCACAATTCCAGGCAGTTAAATATCTGTATTTGATGAACAACTTTTTATGGATGGCCAGCACAGACTTATGGGATTGAATGCTACCCTAGCAAACAGTCCCTAGAAAAAACTTTTTAGCAAATACACTGTTCTCGACTCAGGAAGAATGCTTGTTTAGATCAGCAGGGTTCAAGAAAACCATACAAACTAGGGATACATCTGAGAGAAACAAAAAAACCCGAAGGCACAGCAAAATCTCTTCTCCCAGGTGAGGTGATCAGAACAACACACAAAACCAACAACCTCCTCACAAAGATAGAAGAAAATGCTCTCAAGTAACATCTATCCTTGGCTACAAAGTCACAAGGCTCAGAGATTCTCAAACTTCACTGCACAAACAAGTCACAGGGGAGCACTTAGTAAAAAGTGAAGGTCCTGGATCAGTAAGTATGTCTGGGTGGGCTGCAGACTCTATTGTATAACCCCTCCCAGGAGAAGATATATAGCTGGAATGGGGACTGCTCTTTGCCCTTTATGGTCATGGAGTTTCAGAGCTCAATTCTGTTTTGGGTTAAGTCTTTTAATCTCTTTTTCTTCAAAGAACTTACTTATTCAACACTCCCTTCTAGTACTAAACTGGTATCTATTATGATGGCATTTCTCACTCAATCCAACAGTGAGTTTCTGCTTACAAGGTTCCTAGGAGGATGAAATGCTCCCGACCCCTTTTCCTGACTCCCCCAAACCCAGGTCTCTGTAGTGAGGCCTGGTGTAGTGAGACTGAGGTGTCTTCACATATATTATAGAAAGATAATGGGAGGAAACCCTGTTCAGAAGCGCCACCATCTGAACATAAATGACTTGCAGAAAAATACCTTAGGCCTGAGGCTTTCTGCTTTGGCCATCATTTTTTTCAAGACTCACTTGTCAGACAATCGTATATTAGATACAGTAATAAAAGATGGATCCTTAATACTTTGATAACTTAGTCAAAAGGGATTAGGAACCACACCCATGCTCGAGACCTGGGTTGTTCACTGTAATAGCCATTAACTATATGGAATTTTTGAACACTTGAAATGTAACTAGTCTAAATGAAAAAAAAAAAAAAAACAAACACATCAGACTTTAAAGACAATAGAAACAGAAGAAAGCAAAATATATCTAATACATTTTATATTGACTTCATATTAAAATGACAATATTTGGGATATACTGGGTTAAATAAATAAAATGTTTTATTAAAATAAATGTCAGCTGTTGCTTATTTTTACTTTTAAATGTAACCGTTTGAAAAATTCAAATCATGCCTGTGGCTTGCTTTAGATTTCTCCTGGGCAGTACTGATCTAGGCACTAGCTATCCACACTGTGCTTGTCAAAAGGGACAACCTTGTCCTCACCTCAGACCTATTGAATCAGAATCTGCATTTTAACAAAATCCATGCTGATTTCTGTGCACATTCAAGTTTGACAGTTGTGGGGTTTGTTTTTTCTATATTACAGAAGGGGTTCAGATCATTGGTGTATGTGAAGAAGAAGCTAAAAGCATACATAGCTCTTGCTGAATCTCCTGCACTAACCTTCTAGCAAGTCAGAGGAAATGTTTTCCAATTTAAATTAAATTATCATACAATTAAAATATTTAACAATGATACAAACTCTAAAACATCACACTACATATACATGTAAGAGGAAAGGGAAAGAAAGTCATTTCACTAAGGCTACCTTGGTTACTTCTGGATTTTCAGCTACCATGTAGGTAAAACTAATGTTCACCAGGTCTGTACCACTGCAGACACACACTATCCGCCCTTCCAGATCATTTTCTGCTTTGCCAACAGCTTCGAGAGCAGCCAGGATTTTGGGATCCTGTATAGAAGCATACAAAAAAAAAAAAAAAAAAAAAAGGGTTAGATCACAGAGCATAGAGGAAATAAAATAAAAAGACACCAACTCATAGTGAATATATACTATACAGAAGGGCAAATGTTTTCTATGGAAAATGCCTAGGTAGCTCATATTCTAAAACTTGCAGAGATAAAAAATCTTCAAAACACAGCATATTACTTGAACTCATTTCATAAAAAAAAAGGGGAATGTAATATTATTGATCTAGAAAGCCAGGCATGCAGGTCTTCTGAGTTTAGGTTGGATTTATTAAAGGATCTGGAAGATGGTAACAGGAGGGAAAGTCTCTCTCTGGGGTCTTCTTGTGTCCAAAGCAGGAGGTTCCCTAGCCCCCCAAACCCCCAACCCCAGACGTAATTAAGGCTTCATACAAAAAAGCATGTCAGCAACAAGCAACTATAGTAACTCAGAATGGAATTAAATTTCTCAAGCAGCTTGGGTAAGATGGATGAGTATGTTCATCTCTAGAAGTATGGTATCCTCCTGTGGAATGAAGACAGGTGCAGATTTGCCCCAATTAGTAAACAAGGCAGTGTCGTTGTCAACCCAGGGAGCTCAGGGGAAGTGCCTACAGTTACACAGAAATCTCAGCTCACAAAAAAAGAGGATAGCTTTTTTTAAAAAAAGAGAGGAACACAATTTACTCTGAACATCAAAAAACCTGCAGGGTTATTATGGAAAAGGACTAAACACTATTCGAATATTCTAGAAAAAAATCTGTTAAATTCCTGGCACCACTGGGCAAACAGCCTTTTATTCAAACAAATCAGTAACAACAAAGAAGACAGAATTATTCACTCTGGCTTTTTTTTTTCTCTCTGAGAGAAAAAGTCTTCAAGAAAAGCCGAAATGTGCATCGCACAGGTACCCAAATTTAAGCTGCCTGAACTATTTAAATTTACACACACACACACAAAAAAAAAAACCATAGATTAGGCAATACTCATGATTTGTGTAGGAAAGTTGGGTGGGGACTTGTCAAATTAATTTCTGAGTTAAAGGAATTGTTTCTTTTTTAGTGCTAATGTCATGCAAAGGTTTTCCTTTTCCAAGGTTAGTAACATTTGTGATATAACTAAACAATACAATTTAATCACCCAAAGTTAAAGATGAGATTTCTAAAGTGCATTGGTTCTTAATTCCACACTGACGATTTGGGGCAGTAAAGGTTAAACAGCATTCTGAAGACTGTTTCCAATCTAAATGAATTTCTGTTTAGAAGAACAGCCAACACTAATTACAGGTACCTTCGGCGTGGCTCCCAACCGAATACTGTTGATGAGGGAGCATTCTAGCACTTGTCCTTCCTGAAAAAGAATACAGCACAATGGTGAACCTACATTCTTTCAGACTTATGGAACAGATAAAGTACTTGGCAAATGTTAGTGAGGATGAAGGCAGTGCTGATTAGAGTAAGGTAGAAGTGCGAAAAAAGAACCATGCTTTCCACCACCACAAATGGTCACGACCATAAACATTCCATTCCAAATACACACACACACACACACACACACGATTGTGCAAGAAGTATGTGTGTGTGTGTGTGTATTCAAATGACTGTCACTGAAAAATTATGAAGTGTTTATTATAAAATGCTGGCTACATTTAGATATACAATAGCATTAATAAGATGTATCATTATATGTGTGTACATGAACTATTAAGTGGGAAAAATGCCAACTTTTATATAACTCCAATTCTACTTTTCTTAAATTCAGCACAGAAGTTCATTAAGTGTGATTGTGATGTCAACCATCAAGTTAAGCCCCAGGATATATAAAATGAACACTCTTAAAGCACTTTTGCAATTTCAGCTGAACATTTCTTCTAGGGAACCATCCTAACGCCAGGCTTGATTCAGACCTGCCTGTTTGAAGCTCCTCTAACAGCCTGACCTTCCTTTTCATAACACTCAAGGATTTGCACTTTTTTCCCCTTTCTTTTGATGCCTGACTTTGCTCCTAGACTGGAATCTATGATTGTAGGGTAATGTCCTTGATCACCACTATAACCTCAATGCCTTGTACATGGAAGAATATTTTTTTTAAGATCTTAAATGAATAAATAAGCTTAGAATCCATGCCCTCCTGGAACACTCTCTCTACTTGTTGAGAAATAAAATCGCTTCAAGCGGACAGTAGGAAAGAAGAACTTGCTGTTCCTGTGCCTTACCTTGCCTTCACTTCTCCAGGTCAGAAAGAAGCCAAATTCATCCACTTTGAAGAGGCAGTTGGGTTCAAACACAAAGGATTCCTGTTAAAAACAAATGTGTTGATCTGCATGATTCACAACCAATAAAAATGCAAATATCTTTTATCCTCTAAACAAGGGAAAATGAGAAATCACTCTTTTGTATCCTGAATCTAATGACCACATTTCTTATTATTATGGAATGTTTTCATTTTAAAAACATTTTGCATTCATTTTATATTAAAAAAAAAAAAGGGATCAACTTTATGTAGCATCTTCTGCTAGAACAGTTTTAAGAACAAAATACACTGATGTCCTGAAGGTCATAGACATTAAAGATGCTTTAAAAATCTGGATGAAGACTCAAATATTCTAAGGTTCTAGCCTGGGTGGGGGGGGTCTATCTCCACAAAGAAGGAGCTGTAACCTGTGTCTAACATAGCACAAAAGTAGCACAAAAGTAGTCAGGAGATAATTTTTTAAAGCCATCTTTTCCTTTTTTTTTTTTTTTAATATATTCGATTCAGCATTAGATGTTTACTTAGAAAATTGCGGAGGATTTTGCTTTTATACACAGCCTCACTTAGTGTCATGCAAACCAAGACTTGAGCTTCTCAAAGTATAGTTGTTGGCCAGCAGCATCAGCATCACCTGGGAACTTGCCTGACCTGCACAAGTTAGGGTTTCAGCCACAGGATGACTGAATTATTGTCTCTGGAACTTGGCTCCGGAAATGTTTCAACACACTACATGATTTTGATCCCATGTTGTAGACTTTGACTCCAGAAACTCGGAAATTACAGAATCAAAATTTGAATCAAGAGGGAGAGCGCAACACAGGGTCCCCAGAGTAAATATGGTTTATGCGACTAGAGGATTTCTGTTTTTTTAGCAAGAAATCACCCACATGTTCAAGAGCACCAGGCTGATCCTAAGGTGTCAGTGAGAGTAAACATGTGTTCAGGAAATGAACCCAGACGCCTTCTGTCTTTTATTTGCATCACACCAAGACTTGGCACCCATGTGTCAACAAATCCACCAGTTTCTTCTCATGACCTAAAAAACTTGTCCTCCTAGGTTATTACAACATTCAGCCATAAGGAACCTGTCTGGCAAACACCAATCAAGGTGGAGACTTAAAATAAATAAGGAGTAATTATAGAATTGTGATTTTAAGGGCAGTTCAGAGTCTTAGCCTCACCTATCACATCATATCTTTCTAAATTCCAGGAGCACAGTGACAGTTATCAAGGTCAATCCAATCAAGACACTGCACCACCATAAAGCGTCTGAATCTAGAGCTCTGGGGACAAGTACCCCTGAGTCCTCAGAGTTTACCAACACCAACTTGAAATTTCAATTCCTAACATCCCACTCTTGGACCACTTCTGATCTAATACTTGACTCTTTATTCTCTACTCCGCTATATTTACTTGACTTCTTTGCAACTTCTCCTACCCTTCAGACTTCTTGACCTCTATCCTTGCCTCACTTGTTTCCATAACCTTACACTACAATCACTCCCTCACAGATATCTTCAACCCAATGTCTCATTTTCTGTTTTCTTAGCCAAAAAACTATGCCCATCCTATCCATATTTTATCACTGCACTTGATGAAGAAAACCACAGATATGGATTGCTGCCTTTAGTTTAAATTCAAAATTATAAGCTTCAAATGGATGGAAAAATGACTTTGAAACATATAAGCCTTTCTTAAAAGGCTCCCCACTTTTTGAGAGGACTTTTATTTGGCTTCTTCTTAAAGTCTTTTACTCCTCCTTACAGCCAATTACTGTGTTATGCTAAGAAAGGAAAACCATTAGCTGGGAACTCTTTCCTGCTTTCTTGTTAGTAAAGCATATTTTCTCTCAAAAAAGTTTAATTCTCCACACCACTTCTGCTCCAAATTCAGTCCCTTGTCAAATTTCATTCTCTTTTATGTACGTAAGGACTTCAGTCTTTTATCACCAACATTTTTCAGCATTTTTTTTCTCTATTAGATGATTCCTATCAGCACTCAAACATGCACTCTACTTCCTTCACTTACTACCTCATATTTTGATCTTTTTCAGGACATGACACTTCGAAAATTCTCTCCACAATCAGTGTCTTCATTGCTTTGCTTCTATAATATCTTCATCTCTGACCAATTCCATCTGCCTTCTAGTTCCCATCATCCTCTGAAATTGTGCAGGCCAGATTCATCATGACTTTCGTACCACCGACTAGTGTGTGTACACAAAATCCTTGCTTTCATCTGACTTGATCTCTGAGTGGTTGACTATCCCCCCACCCTTAAAATATTCTCCAGTATTTGGTTATGGTTGTGTTCCATTCCTCCTCTGAAAACACTACATGTTTCCAGGACTCGCTACTAGGAATTCTCATTTCCAGTGGGTTCCTTGATCTTCTTTACCCATACGACTTCAATATAATTTATTTGTTGAAGGATCCATCGTTTAGGAGTGCTAAATTCAGATATATATTCTCTATCTGACATCTCTATATAGAGTCACAAAGTTAGTATATCCCTAACATGAATTGTTTATTTTTATTCTCTACCACAAGTTCTTAGTTCAATAAGTGTTACTAGCTAACTTCCCATTTGTTGACATCCTTGCTTTTCCTTCATCATAGCCTATCATTTCCATTAACAAGTCTCCTTCCATCGCATTTTCCAACATCTATTTTATTCCATTGCCACCACAACCTTGGCCTAGACAATCAACAACTCTCCCACGGATTGCTCATCTCATCTCTGCTCTTTCTTCCCTCAGCAGATTGAATTTTTAGATGCTTCATCAATTACTAAAAGCATTAGATAAATTCCAAGAATATTTGGATAAAATCCCAGTGCCTTACTATGGCCTAACAGGTCCTGCATAATCTGGGTCCTTCAGATCTCAGGTCACTTTTTGTTCTTTGTTTTCCCTGTTACAACCACCAGCAGAACTTTCCCCCTTGAACCTATCAAGTTTTCTCTAGCCCCAGGATCTTTGCACTTACAGTTCTCCCAGCTCAGAGGCCTTCTCCTACTGTCTTTAGGGTAACAGGCTCCTTTTCATTCTATAGGCTTGGTCTTCATTCTCCTTTCTTCAGAGAGGTCTCTTAATAGGTCTCTCATTTTTATTCTCTATTATAGTATTGTGATATGTCCTTGCTTACACCAATCTGTCTGCATTTCTTTGTTTATTGATTTGCTTCACTTCCATGAGAACAGTCTTTGAAACACTCTTGTTCACCTTTGTGTTCCCAGTGCCTAACACATCAAAGCTATCCTGAAACTAAATTCACATAACAAAAATTAAACAAATGACTTTTCCCAAAATGTGTTTTTGCAGCAGGCCAATATAGAAAACAAATTAAGATGAAAATACTCAAATTGAGAGTGTGGTGCCATGTCCAGAATCCATCAGGTTCAGTGCCTGGAGGGCTGCCATGGACCTTTGTACAAATACAAGGGCATCACATTTGGGCTGTCAGCCATGAGGAAGTAGAATCCCTCTTTCTAATTCATTAAAAACTTACCTAGGAGGATGAGTATGATTTTGAGGTCCTGCCTGAGAATCCCTGTTGGACTAGAAGCTCTTGCACCTGAAGTTTGAATGCCATTACAAAGAAGTTGTTTTCAAAATGGAATAAAAAAATCTCAGCGAAGAGAATAATATAAGAATATAATATAAGAATAATATAAGGAAGATAAAATCAGAATAAAAGACAACTTCCAGAAATGCTCCCTAGCAACAAAATCAAAAAGAGAAAAACTTATCATCTATCAGGTACTCATATAGTTCATAGACAAAAACATGGCAGTTGCTAGGAGAGGCAGAAATTCTCCAGAGGACCTCAGAGACTGATTAGAGAAATAATGTGCCCAGTAAAATCCACAATCGGCTTATCAACTGTGGCTGGATCATTCTCGAACCTAGTGTGTTCAAAGTACCCATGAAAATCAGAGCAAATTTGAAGGAGAGCAAATGACATAGAGCAAATGACAGGAACTGAAACATAATCTCTCACTAATAAACAGAACAAACTCACCCTCTGGTGACTGAGGTACACAAACTCTAGTCTTCCCCCCGCAACAGCTGTTTTAAATTTCACACAAATACCTACTGACCAGAACTGGGGCTAGGCCCTCTGACCAAAACTGAGGTAATAATAGTCTAAGCTCTTTTGTCAGAAAAAATTTCCCCCAGATTTGGGAAGATTCTCAAAAGAAGCTGATATTTTTTCCCTTTGCAAATCTTGTTTATTTTGCAGTTAACAAAAGCAGGTAAGGAAACAAACCATAATAGAATTTCTTCAAGGGGGCTCAAAATTTCAGCTCTCATATGACTCAGTTAAAATTCGTCACAGTCACACTTTACAACTGAAGGGTTAGTTCAATCATCCAGCCCAACCCAGCACTTTGCCTAGGATGGGGAGAGAGAAGAGAGGAAAGGGGAACTCCCTTTATAAAACTACAGAAAAGTGTGTGTGCATGTGTGTGTGTGTGTTTGAGAGAGGCAAAAACAGCTTTTATCAGACTCACCATAGCTAGAGGTTATTTACTTATTTAACTGTAGAACTGGGTTGTTGGTCTGAGGTGTGGGGGTGAGATAATTCACCAGACACAAAGTGGGGAGTAGAGCAGACAGATCTACTGAAATACACTGTTGTGGAGAGCAGGTGAGACAGGAGAGGTCTATTGTGCCATGTGGGTCACCTCCCTGGCAGGGGGTGGAACTCAGGGCATCATGGTGACAGTGGTGAATAGTGCTGAGACTTAACCCCAAGGCCACCAGGGAGGCCCTAGCTAGAGGTTATTTAGGAGTTATTTGTGCTTCAAGAATGCTTGCTAGGGAGATCGGACTACTAGGGCTTTCTGATACTGCTCCCTATTCTATCCAGGATAGAGTATATTTAAAAGTCATTATCTTACATTATTTTCAGTTTTTTTTCCTCGAGAACATACTCATACTACTTCAATATTATTCAAGATCTCAACCTATCTTTCAAAGATCCAACTTACTATAAGAATGACTTAAACTAGAAATATTTTTCCTTTCTTTCAATTTTT